CCTGAGCCGTTCTTGACCTTGGCTGCGAATTAAAGTCACGGGGAAGCATCTAAACACTACAGCCGCCTGAGCGTCACCCCCTTGGACAGTGGTTCTAATCTCTGTGGAAGCTTTTATAAAAGTCTCCTGTCCAGACCTCATCCCGGACCAGTGAAGTCAGAATCTCTGGGGGGGTAAAACCCAGGTCACCAGATTTTCTAAAGTCCCCCAGGTGATTCCAGTGGGCACCCAAGGCCGAGAACCGCCGACAAACGTGAACGTCATTGAGCATTCCTAAGTGCCAAGCACGCCTCAGGCATCGCTGTCAGGGTTAAATAAGGCGATGGTGATGCTGAATGTCTGCACGGGGCTTGCTGGCACACTCTCCAGAGCTTCCCAAAATAAGGATTAAGATTAACACAAAACATGTGAAAATTACGATAACGGTCTTCAAGGGGCGCGTTGTCAGGAAATACTGCAGGACACTGTTGTGATTACACGTGTGCACACGCGTCACCTGCAGCTCTGTCCCAGTGCACACTCGGAGTCGGTGGCTCTGGGGGCCCGGGGCTCTGAGCTCCCAGCACAGGCCCACGTGATGCCCTCGCCAGGGGTCCCAGGGTTAAAGGGACCCAGGCTTTGGAGACAGACCACTGGTCCAGGTGTTCTGCCTTCTACTTCTGAGCCTGTCACTCAGCGCAGCACTCACTCTTCACTTTCTTTGTCATTAGTGAACCTCTCCTCCTTGTCCCCGCTTCTGGAAAGTGGGCTCCACCCTTCCATACTCTGATCGCAGGGCTGGAATGGGCACCGCTGGATTTTCCTGCCCTGCTCTTCCCTGGTCAGTGGAATCGTCATTGTCCCTGAGCCAAACTGGTCCAGTGAGACGCTCTCTGGGGTGGTGAGGACCAAGAGCACCAGCCCGTCCCTGCTGGGGGGACGTCCCTCGTGGCCACCTGAGAGAAGGAGTGCAGGGGGGGTTGGGTGACAGAGAGACAGAGACAGAGCGGCATTGGAGTCCTGCTCCCAGGACGTCCCCACATGGAGCAGCCATCCTGTCCTTCCTGGGTTATACCGTATTTCCCCAAAAATAAGACCTACCCATAAAATAAGCCCTGGCAGGATTTCTAAGGATGTGCGCAATAGAAGCCCCACCCTGATAACAAGACCTAGTGATGGGCGTGGCTATGCAGCGCACCTGCACAACACATGCATTTCGTCGTGGAGCGGTAAAGCAGCCCTTCTCATCAGCCCCATCGTGACAGCTACTATCCCAGAGGTGACCGGAAAGGTGTGGTAGCCCCACCAACAAGGTTGGCTGCTTCCCCTATTAGGTCCCGGCCATCCTGTGAGAGCTGCAAACTGAGGCTTTGGGGGAAAATAACACATCCCCTGAAAATAAGCCCTAGGGTGTCCTCTTGAGGAAAAATAAATATAAGACCCTGTCTTATTTTCGGGGAAACGTGGTAGCAATGATCCAAAAATTCTCCTTTTTACTTGAGTCAATTTGAGGTGGATTTCTTTCAATGCAATGACAAAAAAAAAAGCCCTGAGAAATACCCTAATTATTCTGGGCCTTAGTTTACTCAGCTGTAAGATGGGCGGAATATCGGGATGTAAGCCCTAAGGTTGCTATGGAGATGAAACGAGATAATCCGCGTAGGGCGCTTACTGCAGTGTCTGGCCTTGAGGGAGTGTCCACGCAGGGGCTGCAGGCCAGCCAGACGCTGCATCTGGTCGGACCCTGAGCTGTATCCGGGGAATGGTCTGCTACAAAGGGGTTGGATTCTCGTTTCGAGTTTGAACCAGCCTGACCGCTCGAAGTCTCCCGGGTGCTGGAACGTACCTGCTCAGTCTGGTCTGGGCAAAGTGACGCCCACGTGACTAGCACAGTCTCACCCCGCCACGCTCCCCGCTCCAACGACCCGAGATCAGCTTGCCGGGTCCCCGGCCAGACTTAGCATTCACGGGGGGCTGGAGACAGAGGGGTAGTTTGGGAGCTGGGTTCGCCCTTGGCCTTTCTCAGAATCCCCTGGGTCTAAGTGTAGCTGTTCCAGCTCCGGGTGTCCTGAGGTTCTGGCTTTTCACCGTGGGCTGCCCCATCCAGCAGGCCTTTCTTAAAAAGCCTTTTAAATGTCCAAACCCCACTTTATGCAACCGCCCCGTATCGACTGCCCTGTGTCGCTATTACTGTAGCACATTCGAGGTGCTCCAGGGATTCAGCCTGGCATGACCTGAAGTGGATTTTGCTCTTATGTCAACGCACCACGCATCCCTGCAGCTCTCAGTGCGTGGACTAGGCGGTGCCCACGCCCCTGTCCCCGCCTCCCCGCAGCCACGCACGCGGTGGCGTGAGGCTTACGAAACTGAAGGCACGCCAGGCAGAGGAGGATGCCACAGTTTTGAGCTGCACCAGGAGTTACCAGCAGAGTGTGGGAAGCCTGTCACGACGCAGAAATGACAGAGGTGGGAGATGTCCCAGGATCCGACGCTGGGAAAGAGCGTCGCAGACGCGGCCAGCCTGCCAGCGGGTACCTGTCACTAGAGCGGCGGGCTCGTGGCTGCGGCTAGAAACGATGCCCGCGTAGATCACAGGGGTTCAGCTGGAAATAGAAAAGCAAGAAAGTGCCGATTGATCAGATCACCTGCCGGGTCACAGGAGCTTGTGACAAGGCCCAAAGCATTCCTTGGAAACACCGTTCACGGGGGAGAAAGGAGCCCCGTGTTGGGGAGACAGGAACCTTTCCAGAAGCGCACATCTGCCTGGCAGACACTCGCGGGGGGCTCGGCGGAGCGTGGAGTGGGTGGCGGTCGGTCCCCACTGCACTCGCTCCAGGCTGACACCAGAACAGACACGTCCCGGGCATTCTGTCTGACAGACCGTGCTGCAGTTTCCACTGCCAATTTTAGACTTTTCTGAGAAAATCTGAATGTTGCCTGCATAGCTGCAGGGACTTTACGGGGAAAAAATAATTTATCCTTCCCTAGAAATCATTTTTAAATTGGAAGGTCTGCTGAGTATCATACTGGGAGGAATGAAATCTCTTCTCCCCTCTAGCTTTGAAAATGGAGAGCTGGATTCTGAAACAGACGAGCATGGATTGGGGAGCCCGGGCATTGGGGGCAGGACCCGACGGAGGGCTGGGGCTGGTCCCAGATGCAAAGGACCTCACTCGGCGGGGTCTGGGGGGCTCGTCTCCCCTGGGGCCAACTTCTTCCCCAGAGGGAGCCCTTAGTAAGGATATGAGCATGTAAGTCGGATAAAGCCACGGTAGTGTTGGAAGAGCAACGTGTTAGCTGCAAAGGATGGTTCTCGTCACCTAGTCATTGCAGGCATGAAGCGAGGCTCCGAGCCGGCTGCAAAGAAGATAACCTTTGGCTGTAGCCCTCAAGGCCCCTGGAGCTGTCCTGCGTCTCTTCTCCATTGGACGAGGCTCCTCCAAGGCGGCTCACGTGGCAGTGCTCTCGGGGAGCAAGGTCACGAACACGCCCGCGGGCTTGGGGCAGAACGGCACAGCGGACCTGGGGCCTCTCCCCCTGTCCTGTCCCTCTCTCTGAGGCCCATTTCTGCACTGCCCGGGCCAACGCCCGGCTTGGTTTTCTTCCCACTACGCAGACCCTGCCTCCCCGTGAGGTCACCCCTTGGGCGGCACTGGCTCAGTGTCCCCGTCTGAGGCACAGAGGGACGACAGGGGCAAGGCAGGGCAGGGGGGAGAGGAGTCTGGGGCTGGGGGTTCAGGGGTCAAAGCACCCACACCCAACACAAAGCAAGGCTCCCTCAGCTAAGGGGAAGAAGCCAGGCCCAAAAGGCCACACGGCATCTGATCCCATTCACATGACGTGGTCCACGAAAGGCCCATCTACGGGGATGCAAAGTAGATTAGTGGTTGCCCGGAGCTGGGCTGCGCAGGGGCGGGAGGGATGGAAATGCTCTGAGATTGGATTAGGGGGAGATTTGCACAGCTCATTAAACCTCCTAACGATCAATACACTGTACACTCAAATGGGTGAATTTTATGACAAGTAAATTGTACCTCAATAAAGTTAAAGGAAAAAAGACCTTACTTCAACCATTCTCAAGAATCGCATCGTGTCGTTACTGCTTGTTGAGTGAGAGTATTGTTTTCTTTTGGTATCTGGCTTTCTTAATTCACGTTTCCATTCCACTGCAGGATGAGTGTTTGCTTTCCTCTCTTTGCGTTTGAAACTTTGTTGGTTTTCATCTTTTAGACAAATGTTATTTTCTTGGCCCATTGTTTTTCCTCCCGTTTAATTTTCCTTTTCACTTTTCAAATACTTTTGGTAGTTTTCCTAATGTTTTTCCTTTCATTCCATATCTCCTACCACTCCTGTCTTGCATGAGGCTTCACAGTGAGGAATCTTCTTACCTGGCTGAAGCCTGCTGTGCTTAGCAAGAGGCAAGAGGCGTTGGCATGAGCCGCCCCCCCCCCCCCCCCCCCCCCCCCCCGCCGGCCCCTCTCATCCTGTCCACTCTAAGGTCCCCACTCTGTCTCCTGCTCCTTGGTTCAGCATGTCCACTCTGCATTTGGTTTCTGGGCTCTCTCAGTGTCTTGTTTTTGGTACGCTTGAGAAATGCCAATGTAGCTTCTCACACCCGTAGGGCCTCCGGGAGTCAATCGCGTGTGCGTAATCACACTATTATTCCGGGGGCACCCCGGCCATTCCAGTCCTTCCTGCTCCTGGAAGAGGAAAGAAACCCCACCTGCTATCTGCACACCCGGGGCAAGGAACCCCCAAACCCCTCACACCAGGAAGTCTTGCTAGCTTCGACAAACCCGATATTGATCATTCCTTGGGCCATTCTGTGTAGGTCATGCAACACTAACTTTTATTTGTTTTCAGCTAGGTTTATGAAGTTGTCTCCAGACCAGTGGTGGCTTATTAAAGAATGTGTATTATTTTTATATACTTGATTGCTTTGGGGATATACCCAGAAAGAGAGAGAAAGGACAGGCTGGCAATTCTAATTTGCTTTTTTTTTTTTTTTTTTTTTTGCACGAGTAGCCCAGTCTCCAGGCACTTTCCGGCAGATAGAGTTTGTGTTTGGAGAGCTCATGGCGTTATGCATGGTGTTGTGTGGCATGTTCTCGACTTTGGGCATCTTCTTCCAAGTGCTAGGGAGAAAAACAGAAATCTCAAAAGATAAGAACGACTGTCCCTCCCCCATCCTGCTCATCCCAACCAGGATCGGGCTCTCTTTCAGGTCAGGAGTCCCCTCCAGCCCAGCCTCCTTCGCTGGTGTAAATTCCCCCATTCTCAGAGGCCTTGCTAAGCCATCCACGCGGCCTCTCAGAATGTGCCAGACCATTGAGCTCCCTTTTCTGGACTCCGGGAAAGTCAGGCGTGTAGTTGCACGAGTGATGTGTGCTGTTCTCACTTTCTCAGGAGATGTGTACGCCCTGAAGGCAAAGGCGCTTTATTTAAAGACCCCCCGAGGCTGGGTAGGGAGAAGAACTCAACAAATACTGACCAGGTGAGGGCTCCAAGGGTGACCCTCCTGTGTTCCAGCTGGGGCTTGAGCAGCCTTTTAGAAAAAGACATTAGGCTCTCGAAGTCAGTCCCACAGAGATGCAGACCTTGCTCATAGCCGTCATGCATGAAGGCAGATGGTGGCATCGCTGACCTCATATGTTATCAAAAGCTCTTGGATAATCGATTGATTCAAACGAGTGCTTGAGGTAGGCTGTCCTTCCCACACTGAGCCGGGAACAAAGCAGCTGGTGCAAGAAGGAATGAATAAATGTGAACACCGTGGTTGTCTGCCTAGCAGGCACGCTCTGCCTCCTTCCCTGCCAACAAAACCAAGGCAGTGATCTGTTCATTTCAGGGGCCTCATGTGACCCGGTTCTGACTAACGAAATAAAGTGAAATCAACAGAGGTGCTCTGGGAAAAGTGCTTTCTAATAAAATGTGAAATTAGCGTGAGATGTTCTCTTTCTCTCTCTATATACACACACACACATATATATATATGTGTGCGTGCATATGTGTGTGTGTGTCTATATCTGTCTGTCTGTTTTTCCTCTCTGCTAGATGGCCCTCTTATTCCTGATTTCAAACATAGTTGAGATGTCTGGAGCTACAGCAGCCATTATGAGATCATGAGGGCATGGGCTGAAGGAGAAAAAGCCAATGTGTCAAGGATGGTGAAATGACAGAATGGAGACTCAAGGCTCTTTGACAACACCATTAATAAACTAAAGCAATGCCAGCAACCACCCTTATCCTGACATTTTTATTAAAGAAAGATAAACCCTTTTATTCTCTGTCAGTCACTTTTTTCTGTTACTTAACAATAGCAAACATTTACTAAGTTCTTGTCAAGTGCTGTTCCAAGCACTTTATACATATTAACCCATTTACCCTCAACACAATCCTATTATCGTTCTCTTTTTAAGGACGAGGAAACCGAGGCACAGAAGGATCAGTAACTTGCCAAAGTTAGCAAGTAGCAGGCTCGGAATTCAAACCCAGGCATCCTGGGTTGCAGCATAAAGCATTCCTAATGGACAGACTAACTGTACTCAATAGTCTGCAATCGATGTTCTCATGGCTTAACACAACACAGAAGTGAGAGACTGTTCTAGAACTGTAAGGGATCCTTTGAGATGAATGAAAATATTTGAGTTGATGTAACCTGGAAATGAACGAGGTGTCATGGTGTCTACAGGCAAGATGCTTTTATACATACTGCCAGCACTTGCGAAGGTGCATTGGCTTCTCCAAAGCAGTCCCAATATTGGATTTCCCCCCCCCAGTAACTGTTTTTCCATTTTATTAGGTATATCATTATAAAGTTCTCTTTCTCTCCACTTTTTAATTGCCAGCATGGTGGTATATTTTTTGTGTAAATTGTTCATTACTTTTGATATTTTTTAAGCATTAAGTTTGCATGTTTCCGTCTGCTCCAAGGTTATTTCTTGAGACTCTTCTTAAACAGAGGTCCTATCAGAGTGATAGAAGAAACACATGGTTCCTAAACTGACAACCACTCAGCGCTCGCTCCCGGTCTGGCCGCAACCCCCGCTAGACCTCCGTGCCTCCTTGGGGAGTGAGGGAGAGGCAGTGTGAAGACTCGCTTTCCCTCCAGGAAAATGTCCCACCAAGTTCCTCACATCCCTCGGACCCTTTGCTGGATGAAGTTCCTTACTGCCGAGTTTTCTAGAACTTTCCACACAAGCCCCTGAAGCTTCTACCCACCCTGACAAAGTATCCAAAAAGTCAGTGGATTGAGTAGCTCTCACTCCAAACTTCAGAACTCCCAGGGTCCACTCCTTGCCTTGTTTCAGCCTCAGAAACTAATGCCAACGGCTGGACAACCTCTGTTCTTCCTGTGGAATTTTCCTTTGGAGATTTATTTTATTTCGTATATTTACTATTTACTATTGCGTATATTTATTGCGTATATTTGTTGCTTTTGCAACAAATTTCAATGCATCTGATCTCACCCATTAAATGGAACATCTCTTTTTGAAAAGCACTCTTCGAGAAGCGGTTTAAAAAGTCTGGTATTGTTATTGATGCGTCTGTTCCCCAAGAATGCAGAAAATACTACAAGTACGTACAAGACGTACTACAAGTACGTCTTCCCAGCCTGCTCCTTCCTTTGTGGTACTTTAAGAATCCTTCAGCTCATTGTTTTCGGTCAATTAATCTTCTCCCGTTTGAATTCCCCTCAAATAAAAATTTTTCTGGCCCCTTCCACTAACCCGTCCTTCACAGTCCCATTCACCATCTACCTTGTCTTTCTCTGCATACATTTAACTTCTGGGAAGAGATTTCCAAGACAGCAGATAGGACAGAAGAGAAAACCCAGCCATGATTACAGACTTAGTGAGATTAAGGGGGTGGTGATGATCAGAAATCAAAGGTAATTGATCTGAAATGTGTATTCATATTTTGAGAGATAAAACTTTAGGAAAAACCTGTAAAACTCCTTGGAATTACTGCATGGAAATGTGGATTCAGTCCCCTGTGTGTGAGTTAATTGATGGGGACAAAGTCAATAAAATGAGGACTTGATTGTCATTTGTTTTTCATTGTGATAATAGTTTCTGTATTATCCACCAATAGTCCCTTAACTTAGACAAGACTCATAATTTTTTTTTTTTTGACCTCCAGTAAGCATTGAGGCAGATAGATTTCCTGGAAAACGTATGCTACAAGCTGTTCTCCTCTTTTGAGGGCATTTATGGGAGAGATATAAAAGGTCTTTCTTCTATTAGTTTTTTCATCTACTGTGATAGCGGTTTGGTTAGATCCAGACAACAGTTCTCCATAGTGCTGGCTCGGGGAATTTGTGCCACCAGCCAATGGTTCACCTTGAACTTCACCTTTCATCTCGTCAAAAAATGATCTAACGCTTATCCAAGCACCAGCATGAATCCTTGAGGAAGTAGGATGGAGGAGGTTGTCAATGCAACTGGGGCCTCAAGTCCTTGTCCCTGTCCGGGACCCCTGAGAGCAGTGCTGAGCTGTGTGTGTGGCCTTGGACAGCCCAGCCCAACACCCCACAAGGGCAGGGGCGTCTAGAAGCCCAGGCCCATGGCTGTGGAAGACCTCTGCCACCTGGACTCTTGCTCCTAGCAGGTGCACTGAGCAGTTGTCTCAGAGTGTGTGTGTGTGTGTGTGTGTGTGTGTGTTGGGAGAGGGACTGGCCATTTTGGAGCAGAGCTCTGACATATTTATTCTTTTTCGCCCAGATGCAACTGACAGATACTGTGACTTGTCCTGATGTGACTCTTCTGAGGGACAACAATTCCTGAAACTGTTATTACCAGCAGGTTTTTATTTTCTATTTTCCCCTTGAAGGTGTATACTGAAGATATGATTATATCTTTTGAGCAAGCGGGGGAACCCCTCTACTCAGAGTGCAGCGACTAACGCCAGGTGAGGCCCGGCCTGCGGGGAGGTCTGCAGTGACGTGCTGCGGGGCTGTGCTCACTGTGCCCTGCTCAACAGTCTCATCTAGGACTCGGACGGATATAGAGAAGCACTGCTAAATTTATCGATGACAAATGCTGAGACAGATTGCTAATCTACGATGTCAATATCAGCCTTTGAAATTATTCTAGCCAAATAGAATAAGAGTGCAAAAAATAAATGAAATTAAAGTCATTAAGAATGAAAGCCATGCATTTGGGTTCAAAACATCCATTTATAAGCAAAGGGTGAGGAGTGCACAGCTGGGGTGTGGGCGTAGCATGCCAGCGGACGAGGCCTCGGTGGGCCCCGTGGTGCCCGTGGGGTCCAGCCCTGAGCACGCAGGGCACTGCTGCACGGACAACGCCGGGGTGACGAGACTTCTCCAAGCAAGGTCATATGCAGGACAGCTGGGAAGACTAGAAATGTTTGCCTGAGCGAAGGGAAATTGTAATAGTCATCTTCAAACACTTGAAAACTGGAGCAATTTTGGAAATTATGTTTTGTTTTCCTTTTCCTTTTTTTTTATTTTGGCATATTATGGGGGTACAGATTTTAAGGTTTCAATAAATGCCTATTCCCCCCTCCCCCCACAAGTCTGAGTCTCCAGCATGACCATCCCCCAGATGTTGCGCATCTCACTCATTATGTATGTATATACCCGCCCCCCTGCTCCCTCCCACCTGCCCAATACCCTATTACTGTAGTACCTATGTGTCCACTTAGGTGCTGCTCAGTTAATACCAGTTTGTTGGAGAATATATCTGGTGCTTGTTTTCCATTCTTGGGAAACTTCACTTAGTAGTATGGGTTCCAGCTCTAACCAGGAAAATATAAGATGTGCTATATCACCGTTGTTTCTTAGAGCTGAATAGTACTCCATGGTATACATATACCACATTTTATTAATCCATTCTTGGATTGATGGGCACTTGGGCTGTGATTATGAATTGTGCTGCTGTAAACATTCGAGTGCAGGTGTCTTTTTTGTAGAGTGTCATTGGATCTTTTGGGTAGATGCCCAGCAATGAGATTGCTGGACCTTTTCCTTTTTAAACAAAATTTGTTTTGAATTTTATGGTAGTTGTATGCACTTGCTTGAAGAGTCAAAGAGGTCCACAAGTTTGAGAAGCTGGACTCCTCTCTCCTTTTCAGTCCCCAAAGGCCTCCACGCTCCCTGGTCTCAGATGAGGGTCTGGGTGTTTATTTCGTGTCTCTAAATAGCAGGCTCACGTCGAATCACGTGATCTTGCTTTTCCAGACTCGGCTATTATCATCGACTCCCTGTTTTTGTTTGCTTTGTGAGTACTTAGTATTCGCCACCAACTGTCCCGATCTCCTCTCAAGACGCTCAGCCACTTCGAGTACTTGTCCCATCAGCCTCGTCCTCTGACAAAGGGGCCCTGGCTGCCCTGTGCCTGGCGCCCAGTGGCCACCTCGGGTCTTCCCTCCACCGTCACCCTGGGGACCGCACTTGCTTTGCGGTGTCTCCTGTAGCCCAGTTCTCTCTCTTTCTAGTTTTCTCCATCATTTCCCAAAGAGAATCCTTTGGTGGTTTTGGGGAGGTAAATTCCTGAAATCTTGAATCTTTGAAAATATTTTTATCATGCCCCCCACGTGGCAACCATAGTTTCTCTGGGGACAGAACACAACACTGGAGGTCATTTTCCTTCGCGTTTGTGAAGGGATTGCCCCACGGCCGTCCAGCTGGCAGGATGGCGGTGGAGAAGTACAAACCCACCGTGACTTCTAGTCCCAGGCGTAGCGACCACGTTTCGAGGGGACCACCTGTGAGAAAGGAGCTCCGTCTTCCTGGAAGGGGCGGGCCGATGTGGAACGTCCATTTCTCGGCGATGTGGCCCAGAGGATCCCACCTCTGCTGAGTGACAGGTTGGGTAAGACGCCTGCCTGGGACGCTCCCGCTCGGAATCCTTCACACCTGTCATCTACCCTCTCTCTGGTGGCAGCATGCTCGGCCCAGGCGTAGGGGAACGTTCAAATCCAGAAATCTCTGAGAACGTGTGCTTTATTGCTTGTTTCATTTTCCGTACAGCCTCCTGCGTACTCCTGCGGAGGACAGGCCCGAGTGAAGAAGTGACGCTTTGCAGGACAGTCTGCTTCTCCGGATTCTGTCATCAAAATGTCACAGGTGACAAGAAGTCAGTTTCTAGTCACTGTCAGGGAACTGCCTCCCGGTGTCTCCCTGAAACCACAGGAGTGGCTGAGACGTCTGCTTCTGCTGTAGCACTTGGGTCAACAGGTTCAAGCGTTTCTCAGGATAAGAAGAGGAAACCAAAAGACACCTGCACTCGAATGTTTATAGCAGTGCAATTCACAATCGCAAAGCTGTGGAAACAGCCCAAGTGCCCATCAATTCATGAGTGGATTAATAAAATGTGGCATATGTATACCATGGAATATTACTCAGCTTTAAGAAACAATGGTGATATAGCACCTCTTGTATATTCCTGGATACAGCTGGAACCCATTCTACTAAGTGATGTATCTCAAGAATGGAAAACCCAGCAGCACATGTACTCACCAGCAAATTGGTATTAACGGATCAACACCTCAGTGGACATACAGGAGTAACATTTATCGGGTGTCGGGAGGGTGGGTGGGGGGAGGAGGGGATGGGTATATACAACCAAATGAGTTAGATGTGCAATGTATGGGGGATGGACACACTTGAAGCTCTTACTCGAGGAGGGAGGGGGGCATGGGAATATATGTAACCTTAATGCTTGTACCCCCATAATATGCTAAAATAAAAATAAATTAATTAAAAAAATAAAAAATATTTTTCACAGCTAATTAAAAAAATAAAAGAAGAGGAAACCCTAAAACCCAGATTGGGCAAGGACAGGGCTAGAAAAAACAGATAAAGTAGGACATGCTTATGCAATGCAAAAAGACTCCCCGTTTTCTGAAACAATTTTCCTCAATACTTTTCCAAGCAGAAATCAATCACTTTCAGCCGAATGAATGGTGTACCTGACAGAGGTTGGCAGGGGAAGACAAGTATTAAGCAACTTAAAGTTATAGTGTGAACTACTGCTAATTGAATAGCATGTCAAAGAAATAAAGATCCAATGAAAGATCCAGCATCCATCCACCTACCATCTACCCTCCATCCATTCTCCATCCATCCTCTATCCATCCACCCTCCATGTACCCATCCATTCATTCACCCAACCCTCCAAGGTCTACTAGGGATTCAAAAATAAAACCTCCAGTTCCTAGGCCATAGGAGTTTCCAGTCCAACGAGAGAGGCAGACTGTGGACACAGCATTCTGGTTCAGGGCTATTGTCCCAGCCACCCCACGACTGCACTGAGGACACATGGTCAGGAGGGGAGAGGAGAGGAGAAGAGAGGAGAGGAGAGGAGGGGAGGGGAGGGGAGGGGAGGGGAGAGGGGAGGGGAGAGGAGAGGAGAGGAAGGGAGGGGAGAGGAAAGGAGAGGAGAGGAGAGGAAGGGAGGGAAGGCCTCCCTTGGGGGCGGTGCCCAGTGGAGGGCCACAAGGACACCAGGGTCAGGCAGAGGAAGGCCCCGGTGCAGATTCGTGGGGCCGGGACAGAAGAGGACGCTCTTTGGAAGCCTGTCTGCTTCGGAGCATGGGCTACTGAGTGTGTGAAGACACCAACAAGAGATGAACCAGGAAAAACAAGCAGGGCCCTGATCCTGAAATGTTTTGTGGGTCACACTGAAGAGGTTAGCGTTCATCTGAAAGCTAAGGGGAATCGCTGAAGGCTTTCGAGCAGGAGAGAAATATCCCCACTCCTCGTAATCTTCTCTGCTGCCCCCCCCCGGCCTGAGTCACCATCACCCCTAGAGTGATGGTCCGATCAGAGCAAGTCATCTACAGCTTACACCTGCAATGGCACCACCCACCACGGGGCCCCATGCCACTGGGCCCCTCTTAGCTTTCTGATCTGACTCTGTCCCCTCCCACCCTGCACCTCCCTGCCCCAGACGCCCTAGCCTGCTCGCTGTTGCTGGAAGCCTCAGGTATGTTCTGTCTCGGGGCTCATCTCTGGCTCTTCCCTCAGCCCCCACGGCACTCCCTCCTTCCCCTCCTCTGATCGCAGCCAACCTCCCATGAGGCCCATCCTCACCACCCTAGTGAGCACTGTACACACATGCGCACACACGCCTGTGCACGCCAGGCGTCCTCCATCCCCACACCCTGCTTTATTTTCCACAGCACTCATCACCTTCAAGAATATCGTATAATTCATTGAGTTTATTGTCACTTTCCTCCCCCTAGACTGGAACCCCACGAGGGTGAAGGTCTCGGTTTTGTTCACAGACATATCCCAAGCACCTAGGACGAAACCTCGTATGCGTAAATGCCCAATTAATGTTTGCTGAATGAGCAAGAGATGAGCTGCTTTTTTGTTTTTTACAAAAACCACCCAGTGAAAATACAGCTCACCAGGACTTGAAATTGGGGCTGGGGAGGCCAGTTAGAAGTTTCTTGCTGTGGAGATACTGACAGGTGGAACGAGGCAGTGGCCGTGGGGAGGGTGAGCAGGGCGTGGGTTAGAGTTATTAAGGAGATAGAATTGTCAGGACCCGGTGGCTAAGTACAGTCGCGCGCGTATAATGACATCTTGGTCGGCGACGGGCCACATGACCGGCGGTGGTCCCATCAGATCCCAGTGGAGCGCATGTAGAAACCTGATAAACGGCAGTTGCCATTGGCACCGCGGATCAAGTAGGGGAAATGATCGACATCCAGTATCAGTGCAGGGACATTTGGTTTTCCATATAAAAATACATATAAATTAAAACGTGCACACAATCTGGGTTTGTGTAAGTACACCCTATGATGTCCGTAAAAGGGCAGAATGACGTACGATGCATTTCCCAGCGCGCATTCCCGTTGTTAAGTTAAGCGACGCTTGACTGTCTCTGGATTCGGGATATAAGCAGCTAGGACGGCTTCGCTGGCGTGGGCACCGAGGCGTAAGGTGGTGCCATCCACAGAGTCCGGAGGAGAGAGGGTGGGTGGCAAAGGCACGATGAGCCTCGTTTCTAGCGCACTGTCCCCGGTTCTCTGCGGAGCAGCCCAGTGGACGCAGAATGTCTTTGCGTATTACGCCGTGCACAGCGGGTTTACGGTTTCTTTCCTTCCCCCTGGACAGCCCACTAACAAACACGTGTGCTTTACCTTGAATATTTACCGACATAGAAATAACCGATTACCATGATTGACAGCTTATCCTGCAGTCACTGGCCTGCCTTCCGGTCTTATTGAGGCTGTCAAAAAAAGCCCTGTGTGTAAGGTAAAAACCAAAGGCCTCCACTCAATGTTTTCACGTGGGCATCGGAGAGTGAGTCCCCCGGCTCCGCCCGAGGACGCCTTCTGACGTCCCTTAAAGCAAGGAGGTCCCGGCTCGCTCGCCTAGACAGGAGCAAGCTCACTGCCATCCAGTTTTTAGGGAAATCAGTGGAGTTTTCTTCTTAAATAGCTGGTAAGAATCTGGCTTCTCTCCTGTTTCTCAAAGCAGTAAGCTTCTTTCATGATAAACTGTACCCACCGGCTAGGAACTCGACAACTCGGTTTTTCCCGTTCAGCTCGGCTCCCAGATGGCCACCAGCTGGCCCGGGCTATTTCCTGCCTTCCAATCCCTTTCTGTGTCCTCCTGGTTCTCTTTTGGATCTCCCGCGTCTGCCCCACCCTCCTCCTCTGAACACCCACCACCGTATACCCCTCTTTGGAAGCACCTATTTTCTAAGAAAATCTTGAGGAAATTTTTGTAGCCATTGCATCTTTTTTTCCCTAACTTTTGGATGGTGAGGCAGGCCAGGCCAGAGCCGCGCAGAGGCCCGGTGTCCCCCAGCAGCACAGCAACACCTGTCTCTGAGGGCAGGACGAGGAGGACCCCACCTCCCAGGGGTCACGACAGACCCTTGTATGACGAGGCAGTTCCAGGGCGAGTGGACCCAGCGTTCTCCAGGAACCACACTTCAGCCTTGGAGCTGTGCTCCCCTGTCTTCAAAGTCGGGGCGAAGCGACGTCCAGTCCCCTGCCTGCTCTTGGGCCAGCCAGAGCGACGGAGGATCGCGTCATGGGATCGCATCTGGGCACTTTTCGTCCCATCCCCCATTACCAGAGTACTGTACCACGTCCCAGTTGTTTGCAATAAAAGTCTTTTATTGATTTTTCCAGAAGATTGCCTGAAATGACAACATTGTAGAATGCAGCAGGATGTCTATTTGTCTGCATCTCGCCTGGAGTTCGTCAGTCCAGTGAGTTTCCGTTGGTGCCCAGCCGTGCTGGAGTGGGGGGCTTCCGTGGAGACCTCTGCACAGAGAGGTGTCTGTACAGGAGCATGTCCGAATCCGCGGTGGCGAGGAAAGGCCGTGTGAGGGTGGGGGCTACCTGTATGTCTGGGGTGTGTCTGTACCTGTGTGTGAACAACGGTGTGTGTAGGTGACAGGGTGTGTGCAGAGGGGACGTGTGTGGGTGCCCGTGTGTGCACAGGGATGTGTGTGGATAACTGTGCATGTGCCCAGGGGGTGCGTGGATAACTGTGCATGTGCACAGGGGATGCGTGGATAACTGTGCGTGTGCCCAGGGGGTGTGTGGATAACTGTGCATGTGCACAGGGGATGCGTGGATAACTGTGCGTGTGCACAGGGGGTGCGTGGATAACTGTGCGTGTGCACAGGGGATGCGTGGATAACTGTGCATGTACCCAGGGGGTGCGTGGATAACTGTGCGTGTGCCCAGGGGGTGCGTGGATAACTGTGGGTGTGCCCAGGGGGTGCGTGGATAACTGTGCCTGTGCACAGGGGGTGCGTGGATAACTGTGCGTGTGCCCAGGGGGTGCGTGGATAACTGCGCGTGTGCCCAGGGGGTGCGTGCATAACTGTGCGTGTGCCAAGGGGATGCGTGCATAACTGTGCGTGTGCCAAGGGGATGCGTGGATAACCGTGCGTGTGCACAGGGGATGCGTGGATAACCGTGCGTGTACCCAGGGGGTGCGTGGATAACCGTGCATGTGCCCAGGGGGTGCGTGGATAACTGTGCGTGTGCCCAGGGGGTGCGTGGATAACTGTGCGTGTGCCCAGGGGATGCGTGGATAACTGTGCGTGTGCCCAGGGGGTGTGTGGGTAACTGTGCATGTGCACAGGGGATGCGTGGATAACTGTGCGTGTGCCCAGGGGGTGTGTGGATAACTGTGCGTGTGCACAGGGGATGCGTGGATAACTGCGCGTGTGCCCAGGGGGTGCGTGGATAACTGCGCGTGTGCCCAGGGGGTGCGTGGATAACTGTGCGTGTGCCCAGGGGGTGCGTGGATAACTGTGCGTGTGCCCAGGGGATGTGTGGATAACTGTGTGTTTGCACAGGGGTTGTGTGCGGGGGACTGTGTACGCACAGGGGATCTGTGTGTGACTGTGTCTGTGTGCACGGTGGTCCATGTGGGTGACTGCGTGTGCACACGATCTGTTTTGTGCAGGTGCGAGCTGGGGTGTGTGGCACTGTGAGTGTGTCTGACGTGGACTGTGGTGCGTACCTGCAAGTGCAGTGAGCATTGGGCCGCACTGGAGGGGTGCTTGTTCTGCAGCAAGTGTTTATGGGTGGCCCAGGAGCTGCACTTGGGCAAGTGACAGAGGGAATGTGTGGAAGACCTGTGCTACAGGTGTCTGCCAGGGTGTTGGGGTCTTTGGGGGGATGCCTGGGGTGTATTTTAGACAGTATCCTTGTGGGTGCAGCTCCTATGCCACCGCATGAACACTTGGCCTCTTCACCAACAGGCCATGGCGGGCAAATTGGTATTTGGTGTATTTAATGTGTAGCGTTGGTGCTCAGGATTAACAACTAGCTCTGGGGGCAGCTTGCACTTGCCCCCAGGTTTTAGCTGTGGGGAAGCTAACGGTCACGCTCCTGGCCTGGCTCCAGGGGTTGGGATCACAGCACTGCCCCGACAGCAGGTGGGGCTGCCGTCCCCACGCCCGACCGTGCAGGGAGCCACCGAGGAGGCCCTTCCGTGTTCGCCCCCAGCGAGCGTGAGCGGCTGCGCATGGGCACCCGAGTCCCACGCCGCAGCTGCAGCACAGCTCCGAGGAGGTGGGTGGGCGGGCGGGCGTGCTAGGGTCCCCAGCCGCACAGCTGCTCTGATCTCCAGGGCAGCCAGCACTGCTGTGAGCAGGACTCCCGTTGCCGCTGCAGAGTGACCTTAGCTAGTCTTTGCTTTTGGTTTGGAAAAAGGCATTCTTTAGCTAACTCCAAAGCCAAAAGCCAGGGGTGTTTGTTCCTGACTGACCCCTTCCTGTTCATTTCAGGAGACTTTCTCCAGTTTCCAAAAGCACCACAGAGAGCCACGCCGTCCCCTCCTGGCCCTGTCCAAGTGGCACAGGGAGCTTCTGGGCTCCCTGGCCGGCGCTGGTTTGCAGCCTGAGCCCAGCCCCGGGTGAGTTGTGTGACGAACTTTGCCCTGTCGTCCCTCCGGACATGCCTGCGTTACTTCATCAGAGTCCCGCTGGGAGGAACGGTGGCCCGGGTGCTGTTGTGTCAGGCTGTGAGCGGAGGCGGAGGCCGAGTGACAACTTTGCCAAAGGCAAGCTGCAGGGAACACCCCACAGGGACCAGAGCTTGGGGCTCGAGTGATGTGTTCTCTCGCCCTCCGTCCCCCCAGCAATGGGGTATCGTGCGCCCACGAGGCGTCAGGGGCTGTCCTGTCTGACAGCGTGAAATCTGTCGGAAAGAGGAGACATCCCTGCCAAACCTGACCCCAGGTCGTGCCTGGGAAAGGCGCTGGGAGGGCGCACACAAGGCGGGTTACCGAGGGGGGCCGCGTGCTGTGATCGGGGAGGCTTTCTAGAAGAGGCGGGATTAGACCTGAGCACTGCAGGGATGGAGGGAAGGACGAGGTCCCCATGTGGAGTTTGTAAGGCCAGACACAGAGGACGGCAAGCACAGCAGGCTCTGAGCACGGCCGGGCCGGAGCCCGCGAGCAGGCTGGGCCGTGGCACAGGAGAATGCAAGCAGGTACCCGAGGGAGAAGAGAGTTTTGGGGCTTTCACACCATCAGCAAAAGTTCCCCAGGGGGACATACAGTGTGTCGTTTCCTTGACACCTTATTTTTTATGCTATGTGACAAAGATTGGGTAGTGAGTCGTTCACCAAACCCCTTTCCCCTTCTGCACTCGTTCAACCTGCCTAGCTCCCGTCACAGTTAGCGTGGCCACGAGGCTGACTTCTGGAACACGGGAGGGAGGGATGCATGGCCCTGGCGGGCACAGCCCGCAAAGTCATCCCGCAGGACCCTTCACTCCGTCCTTCCCCAGTGCGGAGGCTCCAGAGCCCTGGGCGAGCCCGCGTCCCCAAATCGCCACCTGGAGACCCCCCTCCAAATGCACGCAAGAGCTGTTATGTGAACAGGAGATAAATTTCTATTACGGGAAGCTACCGAACTTGAGGGCTTATTTGTTGTAGCAGCTTGCCTGCCATGACTAATGCGGGTGATTAACCACTTCGGTACCAGCGTTGACTACAGTCGACAGCCACAGATGAACGCGCACAGCCGAGCGTGGACTTTAGTCTATAATTTTGAATTGACCTTTCCAATTTTTCATTTATCAAAATAAAATTGTGAACATTTAAAAATAACGTAATAAAAACATATATGTCTATGTTACCTATTCTGATTTACGTGACAAGTAAAGCTGCCTGTAAAGGAAAGCAAGCTTTCAGTGCTTTAAAGCTTTCCTCATCACACAAGAGCAAAAGGGACTCGTCGTCAGTGCACAGCACACGCTATTGTGCGGACTGTGAGCGCCGTACGGAAGTGGTCAATACTAATAAGTTATATCTGATCCTCTGAATATTTTATGTTTAGTTGAAACGTTTATCCCGACTTTTCCTGTGACTAGTTTTGGCTTCATTCCTCTATCCCCTGCACCTGTTATATCCCCAGGAACATTTCTTGAATGAATGAACGAATGCACCGACTTTGGAGGCCCATGGTGGCATCGCACGCAGCACGACAGGGAAGCATCGGAACAAAGCAGGGAAGTGAATCCATCAGGGAGTGGGAATGTGAAACTGCAAGCTGAGAAAATTAGAAAGGAGAAGAAAAAGCAAATCCAAATCCTGAGCTATCTTGAGAACATTTGCTGGTGCATTCCTTTACCCCGTGGCAACAGTGACATAAAGAGATTATGTCCTTGCTTTAAAAAAAAAAAAGTGCTATTCCACTTCTTTGGAAATTACATTTAAACCTCAATATTTACCTTAATAGTTCACCTACAGAGTCAAAAACAGAATGTTCACACATCCCTGCAATACAGTTTTAAAAAGAAAAGAAAAATAAATTTCCTTCCGAAGCAGAATGACAACATATTCCATTTATTTCCCACACACTAAAAGCTTGAACTCTCTCAGTAGAAACAACAACCAATATTTTTTTCCATTTAAAAGGGAGTCGATAGTATTTCAGGCTTCTCTGTTTCTCCCCAAACAGATGGGCTTTCACATTCAAGAGAAACTGGAGCTGCCGTCACTTTGAGCGGACACGAGCTTGGCCGGACCGCACCATCCACACGCCAGGACCCGGGGTCACAGGGAGCTGCCCGGCGCATGTGGTCACGTGCTTGGAGCACGGTTCCTGTAGTGATCTTCACTTGGAGTGTCATTTGATATGGGGGAAAACTGGCATACTATAATAGCCAGCGTGCATAACAGCAAAGTGTGCTGTCTCTTGAGTGAAATAAATTCTGCTAATTTGTCAGTGGTAGTTACTGTAGCATTTTCCGGTATCAGAGCGATTGGAGAATACGTCAAAAAGTGTCAGGCACTGGCATGGCGCCAGCTAAATGCTTTGCATGTGTTACTTCATCAAACCCTCAAGATAATCCTATGGAGTCAGCAACTTTATTTGCATTCGACAGATGGGGAGACTGAGGCAGAAAGCGGTTGCATGCTGTCCCTAGGGTAACAGAAGTCTTAAGTAGCAGAGCTAGACTGGCTGAACGTCATGTGATTTTTGAGCTCAGGTAGCTCAGCCCTGGAACACACTATGGTCTTAGTCAAGTTCACAGTAGGGAGTGTCATTTGCCTGCTAACCTACCTCAGTCTGGGTACAAACAAAGTCTCGACCTGCTGTTTGTTTTCTTTATAACCCTCCGCACGACATGTACCGAAAGTTCTGCGTTGAGCGTGTCTTATGTAAGATTTTTTCCAGTGCACAATCTATTAATGGGAATTACATCAGCATCACTGGGTTCTGTCACTTTTTCATGCCATTCTAGTACCATTCAGAAATGCGTTTTATTTCAAGACATCACCGTACACTGTTCCCCTCTCTCCGCGTCTCTCCTCCTAGTTGGCGTGTCATTTTCTCACTGCGCACTCCCTCATTAGAGCCCGGCACTCTGGCTTCTCACCCCGACCGGCACTGACATTTTTCTCACCACTGGTTCCATTTCTAATAAATCGAAGGAGGTTTTCTCAGCCTTTCATCTTCCTCGAGCTCCCTGGAGGTTCAGCTGCTAATCACGTCTTCCCTCCCGCCGTCCCTGTGCCCTTCGCCCCCGCTCTCAGCTTGCTCCTCGTGCCCGTGAGGTGGGGGTCGGTCTCCCGGCACCCCCTCCCTCCAGTGCCCCAGTCTTGCCGCTCTGCTGTCTGCCCTGAGCCAAGGACGTTCCCGGCGACATCTCTCCCCTGAACCTCCAACGGGGACTTGCGTCTTCCGACAGGACCCTTGCCCTCAGAGGACCCGGACTATTCTAAAGTCGCCTCATTCTCAACATAGGTAACGTCAAAGCTCCGGCCTTAGGTCCATTTGCACCCAGAGTCTGCCACTCTCTTGGTGTCCCAGGATTGGGGGAGCCCATGCCCAGAGCTAGAGGAACAAGAGCGGTTGGGAGAGTATGTGGCCTAGTGTCAGCGTGGAAAAGGTGCTCCAGAAACACAGTGTCTCTTTCCTTTCCTTCCTCTCTCCTGCCCGGTGTTCATGGAGGCATCAGTCCGTGGCATGTGGAAGGTGCCATCAAGTGTATCCCATCCCATCCATCCGGTGGCGCCTGGCAGTGGCCCTGGCTCCCGGCCTGTGTTTCACCCTGTTCGTGGTCACCAGGGACATCTTTCCAATCCGTGGCTCGCATTCTGCTACTTTGCTGCTAAACAAACCACGATGTTTCCCTGTTGTCAATTAGATTCGGTCAGGACCCTGTGACTTGACTTTCAAGGTCTTCCATCACTGGGGGCCCTGATTCATTCCACATTTCCACCCGTACGCCCGAAAATGGGAGCCCTTTCTTTTGGCGCACGCAGCCACCCCACCTCCTTCCCCGCCTGCCGGGTCCGTGTCTTGCTCACATTGTTGCATTCATTGGATCCCCTTTCCCCACCCAGGGTTTGTATTTCCATCAGGGTTGAGCTGAATCATAAAGATTTGCCTCACCTGCCTCGTCCCAAACACTCTTTATTTCCTCGGAATTCCTCCAGCATTTATATAGTCAAGACCCTGCATCCTGTAACCACCATTAGCAGGATCCTCTGAGTTCTAACTGTGCGTAAAGACTGACTCAATCACTCCTAGAAGCCACTCTAAGAGATAGATGTCCACCTGATCTTGCAGATGACGACACTGAAGTAGGGAAGAAGGTGAACTTGCCCAGAATTACACCTGGGGTCCAACTCCAAAGCCCACATCCTCACTGCTCACTGAGCTAAATACTCCTGCATTTGTTTCTTTTTGTCTCCTGAAAGGATTTAATGGCAAAGATCATTTATGGTGTTGCTTTGTTACTTTTCCAATGGTCCTAGCTAAGGACCGAGGACATGATATTTATTTGATAAATACTCACTGGTTTTGGCTTCTGGCTTTCAGACTTAATAATATTGTGAGCCCGAACCAGTTAAGCAATTTATGAACACAGTGGTCACCAGGATGATTCGCCCTGATAAATAACAGATAATAATCAGCATCAGGCCAAAGTGACCAGTGACATCCTGACAATAAATTGCTTAGCCTGGGTTGTCTTCTTTCTTACATTTCCTCCTTAAAAAAAAAAAGAAAGAAAAAGAAAAGAAAACTAAGGAGAAACACATGAGAGCTCATTGTAATTCTGAAATCATTTTGCTTCCAACTCTTATTCAAATCATCTCAGGGGCTTTGTTGACATTATCTGCCAAAGGCTGTAATCCATCTTTCCAAAAGGAGAGAGGCACCAGCAAACAAGGAGCAACGCCTTTCCCTGCACAGAGCTCTGGGGGCGAAGGTCACCCTCCTGCCCGGGCTAGCGCTCGCCACCAGGCAGCACGTGCACAGGGCCCGGCCGCCTTTCTAAAGGGGAATATTTACAGTGTCGGGCGGCCGGGCGCTGTGGAGCTTAATGGGACTCTTAATAAAGGCAGCCTTCATTAAGACGGGAGCACAGGCAAGGTGCCCTTGCTTTTGAGGAAAGGACGACCCGGCACAAGACGGATGCTCCCCCTTGGCTTGGAAATCACGCAGGTCAAGTGCTTGTCATGCATTAACAGCCTTTTAAGTTCCTAGGCAGATTAAGAGGAGCGGCTTAGATAAATGAAGGAAGAGGAATCATGAGATCTGTCTTGGTAGCATAAACGTTGAGACACAGCAGCTGCATTTAAACAGAGCAATTTGCTAAATGAGGGGTTGGCTACATTCCAGATGGCCAATGTGACACAGGGCTTGGATGAATCCTTTATTCAATCATGCATCTGTCTAGACTGAGACATGAAAGGCCAGGTTACAGCTACTGCAGCGGCAGCTTTGAAACCCTTACATAAAACACGTTCGGTTTTGCCAAGGAGGCAGTTTGGCCCAAGATCAGCTGGAGAGGGGGTGGCGACAGGAGCCTCCAGGAAAGCCGGCTTCTTGGCTGAATGACGGCCAGCTTGGAGCAGGGGCTCTCCCCGGGCATGTCTGCTACCGTAGCACTTCACACACCTATGGGGGCCACGGGGGCAGGCAGGGGATCTTAGCAGGATGAGGCAGCAGTATAAGCTTAGAAAGCAGAAATACTGGTTATTTTTTCTGCGCTTTATTTTATTTTATTTTTTAATGTGCACTTTAAAAATCATTTTGTGTGTGCTTTGTCTTGATTCTTCTAGGTTGGTTTTTAAAATTCCCCAGGCAGATGAAAGCACATCCTTAGCTGTCAATCATGACCCCACTCGGCCTTCCTGCCTCTCCACCCCTAGCATTTAATTCAGCCTTGGCGTGAGGACATCACCAGAGATGATATCCTAAAGATACTAGCTCAGACGCTCAGAGGTAGACCAGATGACCACTCGGTATGGGGCCTCATAGTCTATGAAACCTATTGACTGGCTGATTTGAGCCAGGTCAGGCGACATAGAGACGTTCAATGGGCATTTGCCCCAACTCTAGGAAACAGGCAGCCAGAGGGTTTTCAGTGGGCTGCAGTGGTGACTTTACAGAAAGGCAGCTCCACTGGCGGGCTTCACTCTGGTAAGTTGCACACCCTGTTTTATTTCTATTTTTTATTTTATTTTTTTTATTTTTATTTTTTTGAGACAGAGTCTCACTTTGTTGCCCAGGCTAGAGTGAGTGCAGTGGTGTCAGCCTAGCTCACAGCAACCTCAAACTCCTGGGCTCAAGCAATCCTTCTGCCTCAACCTCCGGAGTGGCTGGGACTACAGGCATGCGCCACCATTTTTTTTTTCTAGATTTTTTTCTAGATATTTAGTTGGCCAATTAATTTCTTGCTATTTATAATAGAGACAGGGTCTCGCTCTTGCTCAGGCTAGTTTTGAACTCCTGACCTCGAGCAATCCGCCCGCCTCGGCCTCCCAGAGTGCTAGGATTACAGGCGTGAGCCACCACACATGACCTTATTTTTATTTTTGTATTAACAAGTTTCCACGGGCAAGGGTTTCATTGTGTTCTTCAGCAGCCACCCCAGTGTGGTGGCTGGAACATTCTGATCAGCTATTAAGCAGCTCTGCTCCTCCCTGCCCTAGAGCCCTCGGGGCCAGCAGGGAGGGAGCCATCACCCTTCACCGTGAGTGCAGCTTCCGTTTATTTCTGACTCAGGAGAAAAGCTGAACTTTAACCTGATGAATCACTAGCCGCACTTCCCGTGACATTCTGGGGAAAACTACAGCTTGCTTAGGAAGGACTCCAGAGCATGTCACCCGCAGCGGTTTCTGTCCTACACTGGGTGGAAAAATTTGAGTTCTGCTCTGTGTCAACACGCCAAAGCTTTCTCTCTTGGAAGTTTCCTACCATCGGGGCTAAGTCTACCCTATAGTCAGCCTGAAATAAACAAATTATCTGAACAGGGCTGTCCCAGGGGGGGATTCAGTGTTATCTCCCCACCAATCTCGCCCAGATCTCACTTCTTTTGTCACTGTTCTGAGTCTAGTTTCCACAGAGCACAGAGAATTATCTGAGGAACTATTTTTCTCAATTCTCCCAGCACCACAATCTACAGCTGTAGGTGAGACTCTGGTCCACACATACGAGGAATGCCTTGGGGCACAGGTGGCCCAGACTTTACCAATGGAGATCTATCTTCATGGCAGGAGTGCAGGCTACGGAAACGGAGCTGCTCCGGCACCTTGGATATGCCATCAGGTGAGAACAATGGAGCCACTGAATTCTGGAATAGTTCCAAATCTGTTCCACTCCAGCCAATGAAGAAATGTCTCAGAAGAGGTTTAATAGTCAGTGTATTAAACTTCTAAAGAGACAGATTTCCTAACGTGCTCAGTGTTAACACTGATGAATCTTACTGAACCATCTTTCAGTGCATGGTCTTGGGCCAGGTGCAACAATCTAAAGGAGCCTCAAGAACAGTCACACTTGGTAGTAGGTGGTGGTGAACCAAGGTCCCCTGGCCTTTGTCAGCACAGAGCAGATGTGGCTTCCCTTATGCTGAGTATGACCAGGTCCCCACCCAATTCCAGGGCTATGTGACAATCAGGAAATATGCAAATTTGGAAAACCTTGACAACTGCTGATGGATGATTAGGTGGCAGATAAGGAAGGTGACAACGAGGGCAGGGTCCATGCTTCTGCTTATAAATAAACTTGTTTTCCTGTCATGTACAACCTGTGGCTGTGCTAGATGGCAACATGAGCTCTTTGATGCTGCACTGACTTTAAGCCTTTTTCCGACCTAATGAAAATCTGCTTTTAAAATGAGCATCCAATGAGACCTTACATCTGAGGCCTTAAGAGTGATGGAAAGTGCCGTGACTTTTTAACATTCAAATATAGCCCCACAGAGAGTCACCCTTGATTGACACTTTATTCCAATTCAAGCCTGTTAATTAAACACCTGTAGACACTAGCAACAAAGATTAAAGCAGCAAAAGCCGCAAACCATGCCTGGAATAAAATGCAACCTTGATTTGCTTAGAACCCACATCAAAGCGGAAACGCAGTATACCGGCCCATTCACACCTGGTCCACTAGGGGGCAGTGGATGATCGCGTGTCCGCCGGGCCGGCTTCATGCGGGCTGCAGTCTGCACACCTGAAGTGTGGCAGGCCTTTCACGCCAAGTGAGCAGCGCGCCGCGATGACAGGTGTAGGGAGCAGCCACTTATTGCTACCAGCACAGTCCCTCGGAAGGATGCAGTGAGATGAACCGTTTGCATTTTTACCAATGAGCTTGCATTATCACCAACAGGCAGTGCCACGGACCTGCCCTGGCTTCTCTGGGCCGCACCCTGGAGAGCCCCAGCAAGAGCAGCAGAGCCAGGGAGCCCCGAGTGCAGTCAGCTGGGGCTGGCAGCCCCGGGGCATGACTTGCCAAGGGGGGCTTCCCTCTGCCATCCCATCCCTGTGCCTGCGTCCATCCGGGGGTGGACTCCAGGCCCGGAAGCCGTGCAGCACAGACCCAGGGCACCATCTGGGTCCTAGTCTGTGGACTCGCCCCCACAGTCAGCCCGCACAGGTCATCCGCGCTCCCAGCGCGCAGCCCGGGCCTGAGCCTCTGTAGAAGCGCCCATCTGCTCTCTGCCAGGGGTCTCTCTCTCTCTTTTTCTTAATCTGCATTTTTTAAAAGGCTTAAAAGAGAATAGAGAGAAAGGCAACACCTGAGCAAAACCAGGAATTGGGACCAGCTGCATTTCAGTGTCTGCACTCTCTCTTCTCATTCCTCCTTTATGCCCCCCCCGCCCCCCATGCAAGAATCTGGTGCCCTCCTGTGACTTCGCCCAGTCCTAGAATAGCAAATCGTTCCCCTTCGGTTGTGCTTACGTCACACTCTCAGTCTCCTCTCCCAAGGGAATCTTCATTTAAGCCTTATCTCTAATTGTGAAGCAAAATACAGAGAAAGGATTCCTCCCTCCTGGCCTGATTAACTAGAGTCTCCCCTACCCCTGGGAGGTGAGCCAGATGTGCCATTTCCCCCTGCGCCCCAACTCTGATGCTTTCAGAGTGAGTCCGCATCCCCGGACCCATGTCTTCAACGTGAACCTGGAACGTCCCCTCTGCTTGCTTGAGAGGCAGTGAAGCCTGGTGGGCAATGCACAGGCTCAGGTTGTCCAGCCTGGGTTCAAATCCCAATTGCGCCTCCCCCTAGGGGCATAGGACCGTGGCAAATTGCAGAACTGCTCGGTGCCTCAGTTTCCCCATTCTCACATTGGGCAATGATAGGATGTCGTGAGGACTGAATAAAAAGCTCCAAGAAGGGTACAAAGCACACAGGTGAGCACTCCACGCGTTCCCTCCTCGTGGTTTAGCTAATGCCGCACGTCCCTCTCCGTTTCCTTCTTCCTTTTTGCCTGAGCCTTGAGATGCAGATGCTCCTAGGCTCTTCCCTCCCCCTGGCTTCTTCCTGAAAGGATGGCAGATGGTCTTCTGGCCTCTGACTCAGTGCCTCCAACTCTCCTTCCACCCCCTACACCTACCTGGTCATCGCCGTGGAGAATCGGGCACTTGTCAGGACCCACGGAACTAAAGCAGAGAGTGTAAAAACAAAACAGCATCCCCAGACACCAAGAACGGCAATCGCGGTGGGGGCTGGGGGGGGGCGGAGGATCCGAAAAATGCCCTTTATGTCAGGCCCGGGTGCTATTTGTAGAACAGTCATGGAAATAGGCGCTTGTTTACTTCGCCCAGATCAGAAGTGATTTCAGATTCTCTTCATTTAATCGTCTACTTCCACTGTGCAGATTCATAATTAAAATAAGAAACTTATTTATAAAACCAGAGTGGGAGCTGCGAGAGAGCTGCGGGGAGATGCTGTGCCGCAGAGCCCTCCGTGAAGCAGGCTCCAAGCCCGCCGGCCGCCTGGAGGGAGTGACAGGGACTCCCTGACATGGCCACGGATCTCTCTCACGGGGGCAGGGGGCCCCTTGCTCCCCGAACCCAGCGCTAGGTGGAGAGTGAGGACATTCCTCCTAGAGAGACCAGATTCTTCTCGGGAATTGCTGCAACCCCCAGCTTTGGGTGGGTGCTTAGGGTTTGGGTGCCATTGGCAGGTGCCAGGACCAGAGGGTGGGAAGAAAGTCCCCTGGTGGAGAAGCACTTGGGCATGGGCGGAGGTGGCAGGCAGAGGGATGAAGAGGTTGGCACAGAGGAGGAAGAAGACTAGCAGTGGGGAATCCGGTGGTGAGACAGAGTGGTGGGACTTCTCTCGGCCACCCCACAAACCCTCAGGAATGTCTACAAAAGTCGCAAAATGATTTGTGATTGGTGTGGTTGGACGTCTTGTGAAAACCCAGGGAAGGGGCTGATTGGAAGCAAGAGGTGGACCCCCACCAACATCTGGGAACGTCAACACGACAACCATAAGGCTTGTTTGACATTGTGTGGCTACGTTAAACTTCACAAATAAATCCGTCAGTTTGTATTGGACTTATTTATTGCTCTTTTATTTCCAAAGACAGGGGAAATCTACTGGAGACATTTTTCTGTGTGTCCATATCAGAAATCTGTATGTCTTAATTATCATTATCTTAATTATTATTTATTATTAATAACTATTATTTATAATTAACATCTTAATTATTATTTTACAGACACTATAAAGCCTACATTGAATGTTGTTTCCCTCTTTTTTTCTGGAATCAAGGAAGCTCGAGGAGAAATATGCTGCTCGTTTCTAAAAATTATTTAGGGCACTATGGAATATACTTTGTTACTTGACTTTATCTTCACATGTATAATTTTTGCCTTCACCTATTCATAAATGTGCATGTGTGTACATTCTTTTCTATTCTATTCTACATTCGTTGCTGTAAGTTTGCCCAATTATCTTTTAGACACCATTGTTATTAATAAACAAAAACATAAATAAACACATTTTGCCTACCCTGGAAGTTCTTACACTTAATCTTTTATTGTGCTCCAGCTGGGACCCTGGGACTTTCAACTCATGGATGCCAGCACACATGCCTGGCTCCAGCCCTCTCATGCCTGATTTTCCTTCTCTCCTGGCTTAAACTCATGGCCGACTGTATTAATAATAACCCCTTCCTCGGACCCACCCTCCACTCCCTTGCTCTCTCTCCTTGTCTGTTCTTGCTTGGCTAAACACCGCCCTTGGTTAAATCTGACTTTCCACCTGCCTCGAGCCTGCCTGCACGTGCAAATGTGGCTGGAGACAAACCACAGAGAGTGGTCTGACTTCCAATTCACGGCCACAAACCACAAGTAAGTTCTCAGGGCTTCCTGGCAGCCATCCGCCTTCTCCCACCCTCCAAGGCCATTTCACTTCCTCCTGTCTCTGCAAGTCTCCGACGCCTCCTCCCCAATCCCCATTCTGGGACGAGACCTTGCTTCCTAAGCCCTCAGCAGAGGCCCTGGGCCAGACCCCACCGCACAGGCACCTGCCCCTGCACGGGGCTAGCATTGGATATGTCTCCCTTTCTCCACAGCATCCTCAACTTTCCAGTTTTCACTGGCTCATTCCCACCAGCATGCAAACAGGCCCTAATTTCTCCCACTGGCGAAAAGAAAAAAAGAGTTTGTATTGGCCCCCACGCTCCTTTCCAACAATCACCCCACTCTCTCCTCCCTTTTGCAGCAAAGTGACTAGAGAGAGGTTCATACTGCCGTCTCCCGTCTCAACTTCCTGCTGTCTCTCGTCAGAGTTCTCGCCAAGCTTTGGCCCCACCTTCCACAAAAGCTGTCTTGCCGGTCAGCAGTGACCTCTGCGCGGCTCAAGCTGGAGCACAGGCCGGGCCTCATCTTCCTGGCAGCTGCAGGTGACCCTGATCGCCCCGGGCAGCCTGACACCTCGCCACCTGCAGGTGAGCTGTTGGCAAACACGCCCACCGGCGCCGGGGCTTCAGCGCCCTCTCTCTGCGCTGACGGCTCCCGCTGCCCCTGGCTTGCACGCGATCACCATCCCGGATGTCCGGTGCCCTGCCCTTCCTTCGTCACAGCACGTACTGTGTCCTAACGTCCTGCATGATCATGCATGATGTGGATGGTTTATTGTCTAGAAACGCGCTCCACTTGAGCAGGAGTTCTTGCCTATTTTCTTCGCTAGCGTATCCCAAGTGCCCAGAGCAGCGCTGGGCCCCTCGCAGGCTAGCGGACCTTTGCCACAGATGCTCCTGTGGCAAAGGATGCACGGATGCACCTGGGCTGGCCATGCAAGCTCTTCGAAGGCACCGGCTGTGCACTGCCGCGCAGCCTCCGGACGAGCCTGGGACCTCCGTGGGGCTGCTTTCCCGCCGGGTCCTGCCCAGAGAGCTCCGCCCCGCCCCACCCCCTGTCCTCTAGACCCCTGTGCCATGCTCTTTCTCCTTAGCCTTCCCTGTCCAACATCCTGCCTGTGGATACTGCCTGTCCTGCCGGCTACAGTGTGAGCTCCCTGAGAGCACAGGGCTTATCTGTTTCCTGCCGTAGCTCTAGCTCTGAAAACAGAGCCTGCACCTGTTTGTGGAACAGACATGCCTCGAAAGCGCCCTTTATAAAGTGCTCTGTGTTTATAGCTGTGTCCTGGTCAACTCCCAGGACAGTACCTCATCCCTGCGGGTCTGCACTAGACGGTGGTCCAGCACTGGGTCTGGACGTCCCAGGTCTGACTCCTCAGGGAGTCATTCCCCTTTGGCCGCTTGGCCTCCAGACGTGCGCCGTGACCAGCCTGGTCCTGGAGGCCGCAAGGCTCCCTCTCTTGGTCCCAGTACTCCCACCACGTCCCTACACACACACACACACTGCTGTGGCCTCCTTGATTTCTGTGCCCCTGTCACCACCCAGCCAAACGCAGGGCTGCCACCTCCCGCTCCTGTGGCCTCACTCCCAGCGGGATGAAAGCTGGTGTCCAGCACAGAGCCTGGCACTGTCTGGGCACTCCCCCCACCCCGGTTATTCCTTCACTCTACAAATATTACTGAACCCACACTACGCACCCGGCCATGGTTCCAGCCCTTGTTCCAGCCCTTGGGATATTCCAGGTAAAGCCTGACACCATGACACTTATATTCTCACGCAGGGGGGCAGATAATGAATAAATACCAAATAAAGGCCGTGTGTCAGATGCTGGAGTGCTGTGGGGCTAAAGAGGGCAGGGGAGGGGCAAGGAGAGATTGTGGTCTGGGCCGGGGAGAGGTGGGGAGCGTGTCTGCGTGGAGGAGGTCGGAGAGGGCCCCTCTGAGTGGGTGACATTTGAGTGAACCCAGATGGAGGGCTCCATCGAGGAATGGAGCAGAGACTGAGTGGGGAAGCATAAAGGAGGAATATTCCCCCAGAGCGGAGAGAGAGCCCCTGGGCGGGGGAAAGAGCAGGAAGAGGAGAGGTATGATGGAGGGAGAAGGGAGGGCTGAGGGTCCCAGGAGCAGGTACCCAGGCTCCGCCTCCCCAAAGGGCTGCCAAGAGCAATGAGTCCCCAGGGAGGAGTGACTGTGACAGCTCCCGGCAGACAGTGCTGGGGGCAGCCTCGTGCAGAGTCCTGGGTCTGAGACAGCCACGGCCCCTGTGCAGCCCGGTGATGGGGAGCAGATGGCTTCCCACCGAAGGGCCCCCGGAGCCACTGCACGGTGTCTGCGAGGGAACCCCTGGAATGACCGCTATTACGGTGAGTGGTGGGAGCTCAAAATAGAAACGAGCTTCAGTTTTGGAAAATAAAATAAGTTCTATTTTTTTGCACATCCGCAGTTATGGACTGAGGTTCACACTTGCTACGCTATTCCAAGCGCATTAAAACCGGCCGCCCCGTACAGCGGTTGCATCCCTGGCTTCTCTTTTAGGAATCCTTGCCGCTGGATGCCGGCGTAGTTTTCTCACGACAAGACTGCTGGGGAGATGGAAAGCGCTGCCTTCCGCGGAGATCTCTGCTCTGCTGCTGCCTGCCCGGAAAGGAGCCTCCCGCCTCGCCTCCAAGTGTGAAGCCGCTGGCTGCTCTAGGAGAGACAGACTCCGATGGCATTTCTGCCAAAAAGAATCCCAGAAACACATCCATCCTGAGTGAGAGAGCCCAGAAATTATTCATAACGCTCTGCAGCTCTGGCAGGAGACCAGATTCCAGGAATTAGAAGCATCTGAAACACTTCACTGGGCTGCGGCAACGGCAATGCACAGGGGTGATAATAATCTAAAAAGACTGAGGTTTTCCGAGAGGCCATCTTCGATTTCTTTTTAAGATGGGAAGAGGCCCAGTTTAGGACTGAGGTATTTCCTTCTTTCTTCAGGAATCTCTCCTCTCTAGCTAACCCGTGTATTTTAATATGGGTAAAGGAAGCAGAGGACACCGTCTCATTTGGGAGTTCAGGAAAACAAAGGGGAGTTTCGCCCAACTTGCTGCGGCCAGGATTCACGACAGTCTTGTGTCACGTCTAATAACCTGGAGTTTTCTTCCAGAGCTTGGGACGGGGCCCCAGACCTGAGCACACTCGACATGTGGCCGCTGGAAAGAACAAGGGAGCCAGGAAATTGGAAATGCCCAGCGATGTCTGGATCGGCTCCAGATTTTGTTTCTTTGAACTTTTCTAAATTTCAAAGCATTATGATAAGTGAGCGGATTTCTGACAAATCTTGGTAGTCTATAATATATCCTAATGATTTTACCATCTCCATATTGGAACTGCTTTTGATTTTTAAAAGAACCATTCCTCTCTCTCTCTCTCTCTCCTCTCTCTGGAATG